AAAAGCTTACGGAATAAGTCGTTTTCTATGTCATTACACTACTTTAAAACAGTCATGTATAGTTAACCGAATAAGTTGCGATTCTCATTAAGCTTATTAGGTTGCCAGCTGATAAAATGAATAAGCAGTCTTGAAAGTCATATTATATTAAGGCATAAACAAAAAAAATGACACTCAGATACAAAGAAGAAAACCTGCTACTATACAAAAAAAAAAGGTTGTAACGACCATAGAATCATTCAACAGAAACAAGATACTCATCCCTTTATTACATACAACATAGTACCCCTAATTTAACTGGAGTTCAGCTTTTCCCAGGATCATCTCTGTATTCTTTTTTTCTGTGTACAAAGATTTTCTCTTAAAATATGTTTATGGTTGTAAATGGAAGGGGTGAGATATGTACAAACCTGTCGTCTATCCCAAAAGGCAGAATAGATGTTTCCGTGAAGACCTTTGGCTTGTGCATGCACTTTATATCTGTATTAAAACCGAACACAAAACTTTGAAAACAAGTGAAGAGAAGCAAGATATCGCATTCCTGTTGTCTCTTTCAAAGATCAACACAGAGGTAGGAGATGATGGAGCCTGCACGCCTTCTAGTCCTCTCGCTCACCTTTGATTTCTCTATCAGAACCTTCTTCATATTGATACAGCTAGATATGACAGTGGCGACGCCAGCTGCAGTCACACCGGGGCAATACACCATGTGGCAGGATTCAAGCAGTTTGCATCTTCTAACAAGATGGGCTAGACCAATGTCTGTTATCTGGCGGCAATGCGATAATACTATATCTTTTAATAAAGGGCATCCGTCACCTACCTCTGCCAATGCTATATCCCGCAAATTCTGTCACAAAATATAGGCCGTGATTTTAGTATCATACAGAAAGGAAATACAAGTCTTAAAAGATTTATTTTAAAGCATCTAACTACAACATTTCTTGGATCAAAATACCAAACCCAACCCATTCCATTCTTTCTCACCTTTTCTAAGTCAAATCATTCAAATACAATAAGCTAGCTATTTAAACTATCATAAACATTAACCCCAACACCATTTTTTATTAGTTTTTACTAAATCTTGGACTTTTTATTGGTGCATGACATGACAAAAAGATAGGAGTGTTTTATACAAGAGATGCTGCATCTAGTTAAACTTGCTAACATTAGATTGACCTTTTTTCATGTTACAATATATATATATATATATGCTCCAACTTGAGTGTTAGATATAAAGGATTTGGGTATGTCATTTTACCATGTATTTTACCTTTAAAGCACACTATTCAAGAACCCGATTTTCCAATGCGTTTCATCTGTTGCAGATAGTTATTATACCTTGAAATGTCTCGCAAGCCTTATGATGATGCAAGTTTGTGCATGAGCGTATGTTTCTAAGGAAATTGAGAACCGGAAACTTGTTGAACTTCCTTCAGGGCTCTGTTAGGTTTAAGTGAGTGTATTAAGATGAAGCTTAAGCTCATTTAGAAACAAGGTTAGTTTGCTAAAACTATCCGAAGAGAATTACAACGAGGAAACAAGGGTGGTAGCATGGTGGATAAAGACAAGGGGATGATAAATCAACCCGGGTTCGAATCCTGCCATCTACATATGCACTTGTGGCCACTGGGAGATTGCCTCAGGGCTGTGAGTGAAGCCTAGTAGCCTACAGTCACGACTTGCCACACGATTAATCGAGGAAAAGCCTGGGTAACCCATTTCCAGAGAACTACAACAAGGATATGATGTGATCTTTACCCCCGACAAGAGGAGTTAATGTTCTTACTGTTCCCGGTCATGCTGCAATTAACCATTTGCCACGTCACCAGCTAAACATCAAGAACACATTTCTATGTTGTTCTTTTGAGAAGGTGTATCCCATCAAGATCTTGGTTTTGTGGTTTCAAACAGAGCCTTCTTTGTGGGCTCAAAGGATCCCTTGAGATGTTCTCTCCCTCTCTCATCGATCTCTACAGAAATCAGGTACAAGTTGCAATAGTGCATATAACTCATTTGTGTTTTGTCACTCTTGGTGGGTTAATGAACTGTGTTGGACCCTAGGTTGATTACGTTGGGGATCTCTCACAAGCAAGAGAGTGAACTCTCAAGTCCTTTTCTGAGGAAAAATTTAAACGAATGACTTGGGGAGCCTCTAGTAATTGAGGTGGCAATATCTTGCAAGGGTATTGATAAGTGTGCAAAAGCATACACCTTATCACCCAATTGTGTCTTTATTTCACTTCATTTTACACCTTTCCGAATCCTATATTGAGTCTTTTACTCTTATCTTATGGTTTTACATTTAGTAGAGCTAGGATGCAGGAATGGTAATGTCTTATATATTTGGTGAATAAAATGTTAACATAAGCATTGTTGTAGCAGGTGTACAAGTTGCTGCAGCACTGGACGCTGATATTGGCACCACAAGGCTCAATCTCGTTGAATAATGTTAAAAGTCAAGGTTTTGAAGAAGCATCTCCTAATACTCCTGGAAGCTAATTTAGATAGATGATGATGCTCCTGCAAGATGCCTTAAGCATCTTGTACTTAAGCATCTTTCTTTTGACCCTTGGGTTATTAACCAATGGGTAATACCCCTTTTTGTACTTTTTGATTCCCCCCTCCTAGTATAAATAGCGAGGGTAATCCTTTAAACAATAACGTGTGAAGTTGTAACCATTTGTAACCTTGGGAACAATTATCATCAAGAACAAAGCTTGATCTAAGCTTGGGTTCCTTGTTACTTTTTAATTTGCAAGTATTTTTCAGTGTTCTTCGTTATTGTTTGTTGCTACAACCACCTTTTCAGCTTTCTTTACTTTTCGTGCAAGATTTACTTTTACGTCATTTACATTCAGTCATTTCCGTTTATGTCATTTACTTTAAGCACTTACATTCAGTCATGCTAGGCTAAATACCTTAGTATGGGTGTAAGTGAAGGTTGTGAGATTACGCTAAGTGTTAGTTGATGTTTGCTCGTTAATAGCAAATTATTTCACTATTCACAAATGGTATCAATATTTCATCTGGTAATCTTTAACAAATTGACACATGTTATTTTATTCAAATGAGTTGGACTTAAAATTAAGACAACGCAAATATTTTTACTAGTTGTGTTATAGAAGCTATAAAGAGTCGCCGTAATCTTATGGGTTGCAAAACTATATGAAAAGAAAGGCAAGATCTGTACTAGTTTGGGATTGATGCATCACCAAGTGCACTTCCAACATATGGTATAATCTGCACTTCCTTGGAAGGCCGTTCAATCGAGTAGTGTTGTAAAGAGCTATTTGTAAAGCAATATTCATTTCACTTCGTTGCTGAAATCCAACATGATCTTGCATCCATACTATCTTTTAATTATTGTTGCATTTTAATATTTGGTTACCAACTCTCGCAAAGATATTTTCTCTCTGAAGCTTTATTGCTTCCATGAAACCCTTTTCTGAAATCTCACTTTAAAGTTGACTTTTGTCACTAGTAACATCAACCTTCGCCAATTTGGTTAATCTTGGTGGTGCTTAAGTACTTTATCCTTGATCTAATCAAATTGTTAATCTCACCCTAGTCTTATCCCTCTTTTTACTCATCCACCTACGCATCAACTGGTATCAGAGCAAACCCAGGTTGTCCTCGGGTTGTGTTCTTACTTCTTATCATCTTACTAGTTTCTTTCCTCCATAAAAAAATCATGGCATTTCCTCATGGTATGACCACAGAAGAAGCTCAGAATTTCAGGCGTGATAGACATATTGAAGAACTTCAAAGAACTACTGAACTCATAACTCAACAGCTTGCAAGACTGCTGGATGACAAACCACGAAGTGATTCAACTGACCCTAGCCACTATAGTTCAAATGAATCTGGTCAGTCTTTTGTTCAGAGAAGAAGAGTTAGAGATGATCTTAGAGATGTCAAAGCAGATGCTCCAGAATTCCATGGAGGATCAAACCCGGATGATTTTATTGAGTGGTTGAATGATATCGAGAACCTTTTAGATGTCGAGGGGTATTCTGATGAGAAAAGATACAAAGTTGTTGTTTTGAAACTTAAGAAATATGCCTCGTTATGGTGGGAGAACATGAAAGCCAAGCGAGAGCGAAGTGGCAAAGTCAAGATCCGGTCTTAGAGAAAACTCAAGAAACTACTCAAGGAGAGATTCCTTCCAGATTCTTACAAGCAAGATCTCTACATCAAGATAACCAACTTCAAACAAGGTAATCTTAGTATTGATGAATACACTCGTGAATTTGAGCAACTTGAGTTACGTAGTAGAATTCAGGAGAGACCGGAACAAACTATGACTTGAATTGCAGCCTTACTGGTCCTTTGAGGAGGTTTGCAAGTTAGCTTCTAAGATTGAGAAGCGTGCTAAGAATAAGAAGGCAGAAAAGGCAACTCCCAAGCCATTTTCAAAGTATAGCAGTTCATTCCAAAATCCTTTCTATAAAGAAAACCCACCAAAAGGTGAAAACTCAAAGCAAGACAAGGGTAAAGGTCTTACTGATGTACCAAAGAAGAAGTGCTTCAGATGTCAAGGTTTAGGACACTTTCAAGCTGAATGTCCTATTCGGGAGGGTCATGACTTTGAAAGAGGTTGAAGAGGTTCACGTTGTAGAAGAAGGAGAAGAAGAGATGCCAATTTATGATGAGGAATGTTACTTTGAAGAAAGGGTTAAACCTGATGAAGGAGAGCTTCTGGTGATACGAAGAGTCCTCCATGCAAAAGAGGTGGATCCTAATGATGAGCAAAGGGAGCAGATATTCCACTCAAGGTGCACGATCAAGGGGATATGTAGCCTTATTATTGATAGTGGTAGTTGTACGAATCTTGCATCCACAAACCTTATCAATAAACTTAGCATTTTGACCTCATCTCACCCAAATCCATACAAGCTTCAATGGCTAAATCAGGGATCCGATGTGAAAGTAACCAAATAGACCCTACTCTCATTTTCTATTGGTAAGTCTTATCAAGATCATGTTCTTTGTCATGTTATACGTAAGTCTTATCAAGAGCAGGTTATTTGTCATGTTATACCTATTGATGCATGTCATATGTTGCTTGGAAGACCTTGGCAATATAATAGACAAGTTTTGCATGATGGTTATCAAAACACCTACTCTTTTGTCATGAATAAGAAGAAGGTAATTCTCAAACCGCTACCATCTACCCTACTGCAAAAACAAAAAGAACCAAGGCTGGATACTGTAGCTGAGAAAAGTTTATTTATGAATGAAGCACGAATAGAGAGAGCTATTTGCAAAGGTAAACCTGTTTTGCTACTAGTGGGAAACAGGTTCGATGATGATGAAACTCCTTTGTATGTTTTTGTCTGTCCGCTTTTAGAAGAGTTTAAAGACGTTTTTCCTTCTGAATTACCTCCACTTAGAGGTACTGAGCATCATATCGATCTAATTCCAGGAGCACCCCTTCCTAACAAATCAGCCTACTGATGTGATCCAGAAAAGACTCGAGAACTACAACGTCAAGTCCAAGAACTCATTGACCGTGGTTACATACGTGAAAGCATGAGTCCTTGCTTTGTTCCAGCTTTGTTGGTCCCAAGAAAAGATGGGACCATGAGAATGTGTGTTTATAGTAGAGCCATCAATAACGCCACGGTCAAATATCGCTATCCTATTCCGAGGTTGGATGATATGCTTGACGAACTTCATGACGCTAATTTGTTATCGAAAATTGATCTTCGGAGTGGGCACCACCAGATCAGAATGCGTGAAGGAGATGAATGGAAAACTGCATTTAAAACAAAAGGTGGGTTGTATGAATGGTTGGTAATGCCATTTGGACTTTCCAATGCTCCTAGTACTTTTATGAGGTTGATGAATGAGGTTCTTAGACCTTTTCTTGGTGATTTCGTTGTTGTATACTTTGATGATATACTTGTGTACAACAAAGGTGCAGAAGAACATACTCGACATTTGAGAAGAGTATTGAAGTGTTGAGAAGCCAGAAACTCTATGGGAAGTTGGAGAAGTGTGAATTTTTTTCTCCAAACGTGATCTTTCTTGGTTATGTTGTATCTAAAGATGGAATTTCAATGGATGAATCAAAGGTGGCAGCAATCAAATCATGGCCAGTACCCACCTTCAAGTGCAACAAAAGTAAGGAGTTTCCATGGCCTTGCTTCGTTTTACAGGAGGTTTGTCAAGAATTTTAGCACTATTGTTGCACCTCTCACTAAATGTATCAAACAAGGCTCTTTCAAATGGAGTCAATCTGCCCAGAATGCATTTGAGAAAATCAGAGTGTTTGTGCACATCGCCTATCTTGGCCCTTCCAGATTTCAACCAATTGTTTTGAGGTTGAATGCGATGCAAGCGGAGTTGGCATAAGGGCTGTCTTGGTAAATAAACTCCCTATAGCCTATTTCAGAGAGAACTTGAGTGAATCAAAGAACTATAGTACATATGACAAGGAGTTCTATGCTATTGTACATGCCCTAGATCATTGGAGTCACTACTTGAGGCCAAAACAATTTGTTCTACATTCTGATCATCAAGCCTTGAAGCATACAAATGGCCAAAACAAGTTGAATCCAAGACATGCGAAATGGGTAGATTTCTCCAATTATTTTTCTTTGTTTCGAAGTATAAAACAGGGAGTTCTAACATTGTTGCAGATGCCCTTACAAAGAGATATGCCATGCTTACTGTTCTTGGGGCAAGAGTGTTAGGTTTTCCTTTCATTAAAGAATTGTACCTAAATGATCCGGATTTTTCTGAAGTTATTCAAGAATGCAAAGAACGAGCTTGTGGTTCTTATTTCATACAAGACGGGTTTCTTTTCAAGAACAACTAACTTTGCATTCCTAAGAGATCCTAAGGGAGCTACTAATTACAGAGGCTCAAGGAGGAGGATTGGTTGGTCATTTTGGCATCAACAAAACCCTTGGTGTATTACAAGAACATTTCTACTGGCCACACATGGAAGGTGATGTTACTGCTCTTATTGCTAGGTGTGCAACATGTCATCAAGCTAAAAGCCAGTTTCATCAAGGCTTGTATACTCCCATTACCTATTCCTTCTCAACCATGGGAAGATATTTCTATGGATTTCATTGAGGCTTTGCCTCGTACTCAACATGGGAAAAATGCTATAATGGTTGTGGTGGATCGTTTCTCCAAAATGGCACACTTTGTTCCGAGTCACAAAACAGATGATGCCATTCATGTTGCTGTTTTATTTTTTAAAGAAATTGTGCGTCTTCATGGAGACCCTAAAACCATAGTTTCTAACAAAGATGTCAAGTTCTTGAGTTACTTTTGGAAATCATTGTGGAAGTTATGGGGCACCAAGTTATTGTTCAACACTACACTGCCGACAGACGAAGGTAACTAATCTAACACTCACAACCTTGCTAAGAAGTATGGTGAGCAAGTCCTTGAAAGATTGGGATGTTAAACTTTCTTTTGTTGAGTTTACTTATAACCGATCTCCAACTTATGCTATTGGATGCACACCATTTGAAATGAACTACAGAGTGAATCCTCTCAACCCTATTGATCTGATACAACTGCCTAAGGGTAGTGAAGTTCACTTTGAGGCAACAACTCGAACCAAAGAAATGCAAAAAATTCATGAACAAGTCAAAGCAAAGATTGAACATGTCAACAACTTGAACAAGAAAAAGACCAACAAGCATCGCAAGAAGGCTCTCTTTGAACCTGGAGAAATCGTGTGGTTGCACTTAAGGATGGAAAGATTTCCTTTAAAAAGGAAGAACAAGCTAATGGCAAGAGGAAATGGACCATATAAGGTGTTGGCAAGGATTGGAGATACTGCCTCCAAACTAGAGTTACCTGGGAATACAACATATCAGCAACTTTCAATGTTGGAGATCTTTCTCCTTCTCTTGAAGATGGTCCACCGGAAGATTTGAAGGCAAATCCTTCCCAACCAGATGAGGTTGATGCAGAGGCATCCATGTTATTTTCAGCCGGTACAAGACCAGCCCATTTTATGTCTCCAACTCACCTGGGGATTGATTCAGACTCTTATTTTGGGTTTGAAACAATTAAAGGGGGGAGTACAATCAGCCTAAAGGAGATTTAAGATTCTTTCTCATTAATGCTTCATTAATAGTCCTTTAATTGCTTTCCAACTTTTGGTCTTTCTCAAGTCTTCTCATTATTCAAGAGTTATGTTTATTTTAATCTTCCAGTCCTATATATGGAGTTCCAAGTTGTAACAGGAAGGCATCCTTTTTTATTGAATAATGAGTTTACAATAGCTTATGAAGTTGTTTTGAGTGTTCATACACAAAAGGAGTCGATTCTTGATTGTTGCTAGTGTGGTGGTGTTGCTTTATCACTAGTAACATCAACCTTCGCCAATTTGGTTAATCTTGGTGGTGTTTAAGTACTTTATCCTTGATCTAATCAGATTGTTAATCTCACCCTAGTCTTATCCCTCTTTTTACTCATCCGCCTACGCATCAAAAAGTCTCCCCCATATCCACCTCCCCCGGTTTTTATCAACCCTTATCCACCTGATGCTAGACAGGGATGATGTGAGGCCCCACATAATCTGTCTAGTTGCTGTAACGCCCCAACCCACATACATTGCATGTAACACGTATTTCATACCAAAGAAACACATATYCATTCATCATTCGAGTCCCTTAGTACAAGAATCTAACATGACCAAATACAAGGTCCAAAATTCAAAATACAATCTTGTACTAATCATCAAAACTGTGCATCAAAAACAAATCTCCAACCAAAATGCACGTATGAAAAGCATTAAATCTTTTCCTTTCCTTTACCTTCTACTCGACCTGCAATATATTTAAAATCACAAAACAAGGGTTAGACTTAAAAAGTCTAGTGAGATACCATATTCATGTCATTGCAGGGTGAAGAATCACCAAAACCTTTATAAAAACATTTATTCATATATAACAATATATGAACATATACAACACAATACCAAATCTTTTCTCAAGATCAAGCTATTACTTAGCTATTCAAATCTCATTCCTTTTGAACCAATCGGGTTTCATACAATGCCACTTTTTAAACCTTTTTCTCAATAAACGAGGTTTAATAAAGTTTCAGGCCAAACATATATTTTCTCCTCAATAAWATCTAATCTATTATTTCCAAATAAGAACCTTGATCCTAAATCCTTAAATCACAAAKAAATAAAGATTCCAGATCTTGGAAATCTTAAGGATATAATAGAAAGAGTTATATAAAACCACACATAGACAATGCCACCCTTATATCCAATGGACACCTCTCCTTGATATGCTGTCCTTATCCCATGGTACACCTCTCCTTGATATGCCACCCTTATAACAAATGGACACCTCTCCTTGATATGCCACCCTTATAACAAATGGACACCACTCCTTGATATGCCACCCTTATAACAAATGGACACCTCTCCTTGATATGTCACCCTTATATCTTCAGCAAAACATTTATAAAATGATTCTGAATAGACCGCAGTCATTGGAACAGTTTTCAGATCATAAATCATTTATATCAAAACTTCATTTTATGATAAAATAACAATTTTCAATAAATCACAAAATATCATCTCAAAACCGGTCAACAAATCCGGTCAACAACCGTCCGGTTTAACACTTAGAATTTTACAATCCATATTGTCCGGTTAACAAGTCCGGACAGCACATCAAAACACTTTATCCGGATAACAAGTCTGGTTAATACCACACTTAGAATAAAACTCATCTTTGTCCGGACATCTAATCCGGTCAACATATCACACACTTTGTTGAACGGTTTAACACTTAGAACAATTTCACATTTTGAACGGATAACAAATCCGGACAACAGTCCGTTCAAGACTCGYCCGGTTTAAGACTAAACCGCTCACCACATGATCGTATTCCTACTTCTCAATATAAAATCGTAAGTATTACTACCACTCACAAACCGCTCAACACCAATCCTAAACCGCTCAACACTCAACCGGTGTACCAACCCCGGACAACAAACCGCTCACGGTTTTGCCCGGTTTAGAAGCAATCCGGACAATAAACCGTATGAGGCTTGTCCGGTTTAATCCCTTATCCGGTCAGGCTTTGTCCGGATAACACTTAGACCATAAAAATCAAAGTTTATTCCAAAGGATAAAAACATGGAGCATGCTAATAAAACCAATAGAACGATTTTATGTAAAAAGATTTAGAACCACTCACCTTAAAGACTTTTGATATCAAAACTTGAAATCAGCTT